CGGGGGGACTGTTGGAGAGGCTGAAGCAGTGGGGACCCGGAGGCCTGCTGTGGAGACTTCGAACCCATTTTCGGTGCTGCCTGGCGAGTGTGGGTGTTCTGCTGGGAATGTCACAACGAGCACCAAGGATGGAGTGGAAAGTGGGTTGGGCAGGTGTTCTCGTTTGTGGGTCTGGTTTTGGGTTTAATTAAGGGGGATCTGCCTAGCGTTAGCCGCCTGGCCTGCTGCAGTATTTTTTTTTCTTGTGCTCTTATGAGCGAGAGGCGTTAGTGCTGAGCAGGCTTTTGGCTTCAGCTCCCTCGGTGCCCTGGTGATGGACCAGGTGCTTCAGTTCCCTCGGTGCCCTGGTGATGGACCAGGTGCTTCAGCTCCCTCGGTGCCCTGGTGATGGACCAGGTGCTTCAGCTCCCTCGGTGCCCTGGTGATGGACTAGGTGCTTCAGCTCCCTCAGTGCCCTGGTGATGGACCAGGTGCTTCAGCTCCCTCGGTGCCCTGGTGATGGACCAGGTGCTTCAGCTCCCTCGGTGCTCTGGTGATGGACCAGGTGCTTCAGTTCCCTCGGTGCCCTGGTGATGGACCATATGCTTCAGTTCCCTCGGTGCCCTGGTGATGAACCAGGTGCTTCAGCTCCCTCAGTGCCCTGGTGATGGACCAGGTGCTTCAGCTCCCTCAGTGCCCTGGTGATGGACCAGGTGCTTCAGCTCCCTCGGTGCCCTGGTGATGGACCAGGTGCTTCAGCTCCCTCGGTGCTCTGGTGATGGACCAGGTGCTTCAGTTCCCTCGGTGCCCTGGTGATGGACCATATGCTTCAGTTCCCTCGGTGCCCTGGTGATGAACCAGGTGCTTCAGTTCCCTCGGTGCCCTGGTGATGGACCAGGTGCTTCAGTTCCCTCGGTGCCCTGGTGATGGACCAGGTGCTCAGTTCCCTCAGTACCCTGGTGATGGGCCAGGTGCTCAGCTCCTCGTGCCCTGGTGATGGACCAGGTGCTTCAGTTCCCTCGGTGCCCTGGTGATGGACCAGGTGCTTCAGTTCCCTCGGTGCCCTGGTGATGGACCAGGTGCTTCAGTTCCCTCGGTGCCCTGGTGATGGACCAGGTGCTTCAGTTCCCTCAGCACCCTGGTGATGGACCAGGTGCTTCAGCTCCCTCAGTGCCCTGGTGATGGACCAGGTGCTTCAGTTCCCTCGGTGCCCTGGTGATGGACCAGGTGCTTCAGTTTCCTCGGTGCCCTTGTGATGGACCAGGTGCTTCAGTTCCCTCGGTGCCCTGGTGATGGACCAGGTGCTTCAGTTCCCTCAGTGCCCTGGTGATGGACCAGGTGCTTCAGTTCCCTCGGTGCCCTGATGATGGACCAGATGCTTCAGTTCCCTCGGTGCCCTGGTGATGGACTAGGTGCTTCAGTTCCCTCTGTGCCCTGGTGATGGACCAGGTGCTTCAGCTCCCTCAGTGCCCTGGTGATGGACCAGGTGCTTCAGTTCCCTCGGTGCCCTGGTGATGGACCAGGTGCTTCAGTTCCCTCAGTACCCTGGTGATGGACCAGGTGCTTCAGCTCCCTCAGTGCCCTGGTGATGGACCAGGTGCTTCAGTTCCCTCGGTGCCCTGGTGATGGACCAGGTGCTTCAGTTCAATCGGTGCCCTGGTGATGGACCAGGTGCTTCAGTTCCCTCAGTACCCTGGTGATGGACCAGGTGCTTCAGCTCCCTCAGTGCCCTGGTGATGGACCAGGTGCTTCAGTTCCCTCAGTACCCTGGTGATGGACCAGGTGCTTCAGTTCCCTCGGTGCCCTGGTGATGGACCAGGTGCTTCAGTTTCCTCTGTGCCCTTGTGATGGACCAGGTGCTTCAGTTCCCTCTGTGCCCTGGTAATGGACCAGGTCTTCAGTTTCCTCAGTGCCCTGGTGATGGACCAGGTGCTTCAGTTCCTCTGTGCCTGGTGATGGACCAGGTGCTTCAGTTCCTCGGTGCCTGGTGATGGACCAGGTGCTTCATGTTCCCTCAGATGCCTGGTGATGGACCAGTGCTTCAGTAGACCCTGGTGATTGGACCAGGTACTTCAGCTCCCCAGTACCTTTTAATAGTGCCCTGGTTATCAAAGCTTATTCCATGGATGGTAGGGTGGGTTGGGCAGGTGGTTTTGTTTGTGGGTCTGGTTTGAGGGAGACCTGCCTAGTTGGGCCGTGGCCTTGCTGCAGTGTTCCTTCTATCTGTATTCTATGATAGAGTGATGGATTTGACGGACTTGCATATTGATAGGAGGAGGGGGTTGTCGGGCTTGTTGCTTGGGTGGCTTTGGGGTGGTTGTGCAAATTTTGTGTATTGGTTGGTTCTGACATGGACCTGCAAGTATGGGCCAGTAGGCCTTTTGCAGTTTCCTCATTTCTTGTGTTCTCTTCTTATGTCTTAACTTCCTGGGTATGGAGGCTGGGATCTTGGTGGCTTGGAAGGGATTGGACAAATATATGATGGGTGGGGCTGGGTTTGATTAGTGTGTTGGTACGGGGTTAATTCTGGTAGCTTTGGGTAGAGGTCGTTTTGATAAGGACCTGCCTCGTATGGGCCAGTGGGCCTTCTGCAGTGTTCCTCCATTCTTATGTTCTTATGTTAACTATCCAGCTTCAAGTATGGGATTCACGATCATTGTATTTTCTCTGAAGACGGCGTGCATACTGAGAAGCCAAGATACTACAAACATCACCGAAAAAGAGGATGAGGAGGTGGCTCTCAGATCAAACATATGGCAGGGGAATCATATGCCCAGTATGACACATTGCTTCATCACCTACTATACTCTTGCCTATCTCTATTCTCCTCTTGTCTCATTATCTGTTCACTCTATTCTCCTACTTATCAGTACTACACTAACTTTAACATATACGCTCCTCTTACCTGTGATTCTCAGAACAGGCATCAGCATCCTCCAAGAATAACATCCGCAGACCAAGGATATTTATAGACCAAGAGAAACTACCTCAGACTAATTTTAACCTCGTTTTGTGACCCCTTCCTGAGTAAGAAGCATCAGTCTCAAAAACCTCACAGAGTGAAACTCGAGATGGTACAAAAGAATTCATTTCATAATTGAATGTCTTGGTTCTTAAGGACGTTTGCACACATGCTCATCATATAATAGGCTTAAAAATAAATGAGGTAATCAGACCTAAAACCGAGTCGTGTGTTACAGTCATAATTAATTGAATGACATGAACACATCACTCAATATTATACCTTCACTTCTCACATGCTTCTTTTAGATTTCTCTCAATGGATGAAACCAATTGTGCGAAAGCGTAATAATAGTACCGAAAGAAACATAGATTTTTAACATCCTAGAAAAAAAAGAGGGAACAAAAAAAAAAAAAAAAAAATAACACAATAAAAAAAAACAAAAAAAAAATACAAAAAAAAAAAAAAAAAAAAAAAAAAAAAAAAAAAAAAAAATATTGGAACAATGTCCCCCATGAAACCTTGTCCTGCAACATGAGTCTAGTATTCATCATTACCATCAATACATCTGAAGTATATACAAAAGCCCTGAAGGGCAAAGACAGGGTAGACAGAAATATGCATTTTAGAAGGACATAACAATAACAAGAGGCCTCGTACCTATTTAAATTTGTTAACTGTTTCGAGGATCATCGCCCCCGCTGCCCTGTCTATGACCAGGCCTCCCAGACCGATATAGAAGCATGGTGCAAAATTTCACCCAAACGACCGCAGGGTTATTCAGAACGATTCTTCTACATATGAGTGGTGAGAAACAACGAGTCAGCGGTGAAGAGGTAAAGATCCGGGTGAAGAATGGGATAGGGAGAAAAAATGAGAAGGGAAAGGAAATGGGAGATGGTGGATCGAGTTAGAGTTAAACTAAAGAGAAATAGGGGATGATAAGAGGAAATGGAAAATTAGTTAAGGTAATTTGTGGGACAAGGAAAAGTTATTAATAAAATATATATATATATATATTTACTGATTGGGATATAGAAATAAAGATAAAGTAATATTATATATACGTGATAACTATATATATATAGAAGTTACCTAAGGCATCAACCTTGGGTAATAAATACCGACAAATTGGTTTAGGAAAGAAGATCGTAAGCAAAACTATAAAACATAATATTAGAGGAAACGGTTGTCCTGGACTTGATCAGGTCCAGGACCGAAAACGTTTTTAATAAATAGTTATAGTTTTGCTTATGCTTTATAAACTATATATATATATATATATATATAATATATATATATATATATATATATATATATATATATATATATATATATATATTAAATATAGGGAGGTACCACCTCTAGAACTGTTATAGGGACCCTCATCCTCAGAGAAAAGAATAATCTTGCTTCAGGGAAAACTCAAAGTCCTCCCTGAAGCTGTTTGAGAATTTTCTCCTACCACCCCCTATATTTTATATATATAATATTTTATTTAAAGACAAAATACATTGACAAAACAATCACAAAAATATGATAGAAAGTAAAACAACATAGGTAACTCAGAGCTACATCTCGAATACTTCGTCCAGCTCCCCGGCGGTGGGCCACGTGCCCATAATGCTGCAGGCATTTCCTCTCTGGATCGCAACACTGAGTCTCTGAAAGAGGAAGCTGGTCGCCCTGTGGTCCTTGGTTTCTATGATGAGCTTTTCACCCAGCTCTATTAGGAACTTTAGAGCACACTTGCCCCATGCTCCAAGGGTCTCCGACCCTATTGGGATGAAGTTATAGCAAGGGGGAAGGTCTTCATATTTGCGGATCTTCTGGGTCTCCCTGTGGCTGGAAGCTCCACCCCCTTCCACTACAGAGTATGGCAAGTAGGTGTCTGCCAATGTGGCGGCACATGTGTAGTCCCAGGCAATCTGCTTTCCATCCTTCCAAGGTAACATAGTGGCTCCATCAGGATGCTTTTGACTTCTGTCAGACCTCTGCACTTGGAGTTCCCATTGAGCTGGGCAACGGGCTGTGGCGAGGCTTCTCTTTATGATGTCATGACCTCCTCATGCCTGGCATACTTCCTTTCTGCTGTGTGACACACGAGACCATGAAGTCCGAATTGATCAGCTGTCGCCCTGCCGCAAATACACCTATGTTCAGTGAGGATGGGGGCGGCTAGGCGAAGAGCAACACCAATCCGAATGGCCTGTGGGTCTAGTCGAGTGCCCAAGGAGGAATTGGGAAACAGCTAACAGGAAATCTCCTGAGTGTGGTGCCTTCACTGCCAGGAGAGGAGCTTTGTCCTTTCCTGAGGCGTTGGAGAGCATTGTGTTGGCGATTTTTTCCATGATCGGTTTGTCCCAGTGGGACTGTTTGTGTTCTTTGAGAGGAGCTAGTCTACTGGAGGAGTCTGTAAGGGTGTCCCACCGAATCACTGCTTCAGTAAACCTGGGGTCTTGAGCTCCTACCACGTCTCTCAAGCGTTCGGGAACTATCTTCTTGACTAATGCATGGAAGCCAAACACGAAGACAGAAAAGCAGGTAAAGCAACATGCGTTGCTTTGCGCACCCCTATACCTCCCAGTCGTACTGGAAGGGTTGCCTGATCCCATTGCTGATCCTCTAGTGACAGGTTCAGTACCTTCTTAATTAAGGGTTGACCTCAGGTGTGCATCATATTCGTCGAGTATTGGGTTGTCAAAAGAGGGTGCACACCTCAGGAAGTAAGTGAGTCTTGGAATAGTATAGCACCTTGTGAGGAGATACAGAGCATCATGGGCATCAAGATTGCTTATTCTCTCCTCCATTCTCATCAGGTCATCAATCTGTCCTTGAGGACTGTGTCGATGGCCTGGTGACCCAGTGGTGCTCTCAAGAGGGTACTGTTGGACGGAGTGGTAGTAGAGACTTCTGGGAGGATTCTTCGCACAGCATTATTTCCTGGTTCGCTGTGATAATTTCACACTTGGAGGGATTGAGGATGAGTCCCAAGTCTTCTCCCTGTGTTTTCACCAGTTGTAGGTCCCCTACCAGGGACTCTTCAGTACCTGCCAGAGTGCCATCATCCAGGTACCAGATGTTGAGCTCGCTGCATAGGCTGGAAGTTAGTTCTCTTACTGCCAAGCAGAAGAGAAGTGGAGCTAGTGGGTCACCCTGCTGAACACTTCTGATGAGAGAATTTCATGTTCTCCAAACAAAAGAATTGAGGGTTTGCTGTAGCCGGCTGAAATGAAGGGAAAAAGACTGGGGAAGCGATCCCGAACAGCTGGCAAGACAGTATCTCTCTTTACCATATTAAAGGCATTTCTAAAATCAAGTTTGACTATGGCCTTGTCTTCTGGTAGGTCCCTGATGTAGGCCCTTGCCGCATGAGCTGCAGCTTCACTGCCTTGAGGGACCCCAAAGCCCAGTTGGTGTGGCTGGAGTAAACTGGCAGCTTCTAGGCGAATGTTTCTTACTGCTGCTTTGGCAACGAGACGGCGAAGAGTGCTTTCCAACCGCAATGGGTCTGATTCCCCCATCCTTCTTCTTCAACGCACACAGTGAGGCTCCAAAAAAGAAAGGTTTAATTTCTTCTGGGATTCGCCCAGCCAGGCAGTTGTTGACGAAAGTTGTTAACTGGGTGAGAAGAAGTGATGCAGATGCACCGAGTACTGGATTTACCATCTCCTTGAGGTGCTGGGGTCGAATTCCAGTGTAACCTCCTGCAGATCCTGCAGGAAATGACAGGATCGCCTTACAGACTTCCAATTCAGGCAAAATTAATTGTTCAGTGATGGGGTCTTCCTCAGGGTTGTTGTTGATGGCTAAGGTGTCCCTGGTTGGATGCTTGTCTCTTAGTGCTTGGGCTGTGGTCTCATCTTTGGGGGCTACAGTGTCGTCACTTGTAATTATTCAGATTGCTCCCACTGTGTTACCTTCTTCAATTTTTTTGCTAACCTGTGCGCAAATTTTCTCGATTTCAGGTTGTTGTTGTAACCTCCAGGTTGGGTCTACCTTTGTGATTCCTGCGATGATGGGGCAGAGGGACACAATTATCCGCTCTTGGGTAGTTGCGCACTGCCTTGATAACTGACGTGGTTAGCAGTTTGCCTCGTCTCTCAGGAACTGCAAGACAGACATTGCCGAACAGGAGCAGGTTGCGCCATGCTTGGATGGTGCCTTGGGCTTCTAAGTTGGTGGAACCTCCATTCACCTGCTTAAGAAGGTCTGTGAATTTCCCTGCTGCATATGGGCGAGCCGCTTTAGGGATGTGGGATAGGGTACTGTTAGCAGTGGATTTGAATGCCAACAGAAGGTTATCGCAAGTGAGGAGGTTGCCATTGGAATTGTCATCTGCCTGTGGAGGCTGTGGGCTGCTCTCTGCTGGGGGCATATATGATCCCGCACACCCATTGTGTGCACGAATGCGACCATCCCTGTTGCGTGCTCGAAACTCTCCGCACACCTGACATGTGCCTCTTCTTTCATTGTTGGGTGCACTGTTTCCCTGGCTTTGTGGCTGGCTGGCTTCATCATCTGCCATACCTCAAACTGTGTGGTAAGCCCAGGCTGAAGGGAAATGGCGCATGGCACATACCGCATGTAGTTCATGGTGATGGTAAGGGGAGGAGAGGGGTCTCCCCTCCTTGTGGTGGGCGGTGGAGGAAAGGGAGGAGTGGAAGATGTGTGATGAGGCGGAGTAGGGCACTCACTCCCTCCCAGGACATGTCACTATACAACACAATTCTCTGTGCACCTGTTACTATACGCCACTATGCTCTGTGCACCTGTTACTATACGCCACTATGCTCTGTGCACAGCCCCCACTATAAACGACATGCCGCTAAACACTACACGTGCTATGTGCATACCATGCTCATACTACGCACTATACACTATATACACTATACACACGGTGAACAAACACTCCATTGTTGTAACACGAGCACATGGTGTATGCGCGCCTGTTTGGGGAAGGGGTAGCCACAGTTTTACCCCTCAACCTCCGCCTCTTCCTCCTCCTCCTCCATTAGGACTTCCCTCACTGACCTCACCTACCCATGGTGACCGTTATGTTCCCTCACTGAATTCACATACACAACACTTGATTCTGAAGGAAGAGACGAAACGCAGAGTCTTCTGGCCCTTTCCAACACGAGCAGCAGATATTCACACACCAGCCTGTTGATAATAATCCTGGTAGGTGTTCTTGATTAGACGATATTGTGCCAAAGACACAGAGCAGGATGCCCACAGCCTCTCTCTGGTAGATAGATAGATAGATCTGTGTGGGTTATTCGGCCTATGGAGAAGTCGAGACTCGATCCCTCGTCATATCACCGACAAGACAGAGACACTACTATTTGTATAAGTAGAAAGTAGAACAAAATCTGTAAGGAGAAAGGAGACAGAAAGAAGAGGGTAAGAGAAGATAAGGGTATAGGGGCAGATCTGGGGAAAAGGAAACTAGGAGAGAGAGAGGAGAGAAGAGAGAGAGAGAGAGAGAGAGAGAGAGAGAGAGAGAGAGAGAGAGAGAGAGGAGAGAGAGAGAGAGAGAGAGAGAGAGAGAGAGAGAGACGAGCGAATGACTGACAGGAGCTTCAAAAGGAGACGGAATGATTGCCAACGATTGATGCCGCTAAACGCTAATTACATCAACCAGACGCTTAACGGAGGTAATCATCCGTGAATGACAAAAACAGAGATAGATAGATACAGAGAGAGAGAGAGAGAGAGAGAGAGAGAGAGAGAGAGAGAGAGAGAAGAGAGAGAGAGAGAGAGAGGAGAGATAGATAGAGAGAGAATTTCATTGACCGAGCAGTAAGATCAGTTTAATCTTATGTTGTCTGTCAGGAAAGGTCAAAAGCGAGTATACTGTACAAACTATGTGTGTATGTGTGTGTGTATGTGTGTGTGTGTGTGTGTGTGTGGTGTGTGTATTTTTGTGTGTGTGGGGTTTTGTGTTGTGT